GAGCGTCGTCCTCTCTCGAGAAGTCTGACAAGCACGTGTACAGAAACGTGCTCGAACCCCTCCTGGCTCGGGCACCCCGCTGCGGGCGCGTGCCAGCCGAGACGTGCCGTCGGGCTTTGCCGTGTGTGGAGCGCCGCTGAGTCATGGGCAGAGACGAGGACGGTTAGGCGAAGGGCGCTGACCGACCGGTAAAGGACGCGAATGCCACACACAGTGGAAGCCGTTCCAGCGTCCCCAGGAGTTAGTCCCACGAGCAAAGCAGCGTCTGAGCAGGACGATCCTGGCTGCTGTGTGCAAGGCGGATGGACTGCAAGCAGCAGGAGTGGGGACAGGACCCTCGAGGGTGCGAGTAACTCGGGCCAGGCGTAAAGGACCGGACCCTGGACGTCTGTAAGGGAGACCTCCTCTCGCAAGCAGCCGGTCGTGTCCCAGGGCGCTGGCTGAGAGCACACGCCGGCCATGGGTGGTGGTGGCGGTGGAGGCGTGGAGGAGGAGGACCACGACTCTTGATTCGTGGACGTTCAAGGAGGAACGGAGCGGAGATGTTTCTGTGGGGACGGTCCTCCAAAGGCTTGTGCCTTCGAGAACTTGCGATGGCAAGGAAAGCATCGAAATCAAAGGTTTGCGTTGTCGTCTATAACAGAGTTTTCCGGAAAGCGAGTGGAGAGGAATTTATAAGGAATCAGTCAAGATAGAGACCCAAAACAGGGAAGAAGCAGGGAATTATTTTACACTAAGACAAGATCCTGAACCAGGTCGATTGTGTTATAATGAGCATCTCTGTTCGCATAATCCATTACCTAAAATCAAATCAAATTAGCAAGTATTTTCAAAAAACATTTTCTCTATTAATAGAGTCCATATGACAGCATCCAGCTGGTCAGCCACGCAGTAGTCAGAGCTTTCATTAAATCTTCATGCACCCTGTTGTCTTCGACTAAATCCACTGAAAAGGAATGAACATCTATGACTTTCTTAGCCTCAGAAGAGGCATCTTTCATTTTGTATTAATTACCGTGTATGCAAAATGGATCAAGAGAATGAGCACGTGGCTTGCATGAAGATACCCGTTAGTTACTAGTTAAGAAGAATGGGAGCTTTGCAGTGGCTGATTTCGGGCCCAGACCTTGCCGTCCGGGGCTGTACCTTCAGAAGACCGTTCTCAGGCATTTTATCTCCATGGCCTGTGTGGGACGGAGGACAGTGAGGCCTTCGCAGAGCGCCTGGGTTCCGCTTAGGATCCAAACCAAGGAGGTGCCGAGGGGTCTGCTTTGCGTTTGCTCTGTCTCACAGTACTGGCTCCGCCCTTCCTTTCCTTGGCCCCTGCTGACTTTTTGCACCTCCTCTCCGGTTTGTGACAGGATCCGCCTCGCCTCCAAGAGCTGGCCTGTCCAGCTCTCCTGCAAGTCCTTAGCAGGTGCCAGTCCCTGCTCGGCTGAGTCTAACCAGCCACCTGAGCAGGCACCTCCCCTGCTAGGAAGCAGGCAGGTAGGTGTTGCGGTGCTTGGTGAGGTACAGGGGTCTCTGTTGAGCAGTCTGATTTTTCTGATAAGAAGAAACTGGTTACATGTATATTCTGTTCTAGTCCATCAACAGTTTTTCTTGGTCCTCATTAAACAGAAAAATGTGATAAGAAAAAATATTTTTACTGAATGACGAACGCTTGTTAAATGGATCGAAACGTAGAAACGTTTGTATCATACTCTCTTCAGGTATAAATGGCTCTTTCAGAATCATGGGGTTCCATCGAGTCGTGCTATATAATTTTTGTCTATGCAAGGACTCTGAATTAGCAGAGATATAAAAACTTAAGTTCTCAATTCGTGGAGATTAAAAAGGGATTTCTTTATAGGGAAAAACGTGAAATTTTTAGGCAACTTTATGTATTTACAGTCCCTGTTCCAAGTAGGTGTCAAGACCTTTAGGAACTTGAAATAGGCTGTGCGTACCTGGATTTTCTCCCGACATTTCCAGGAATTTTTTCTCTCAATTTTCCTGTTCGTTTTTCTCCTCCTCCCATGGATCTCTGTGATCAGTGTGAACTTCTGCTTAAATTCTAAGTAGTGTTTCAAACTCTGAATAAATCCTGTACTAATAAGCTGTAAAGCCGTAAGGAATTACTAAAAGTTTCTTCTAATAATTAGGCATAAATCTAAAGCTAGCTAGAGTCGTTTCAGTAAGAACTCTGAGGGTCGTACCCACAATAGGACGTTTACGTATACGATACCTGGAAAGAAGATGAAAATGACTCATGAAAGGTCATTTTCAGACGTTAGTGGCCTATTCTATGCTTATTAACATACACTGTATGGCTAGTGAACGCAGTTCTGTTTTCTATAGAGTGCACGGAACGCAGCACAAGTGTCACGACATTGTAGATGCTCCGAATACTCGGCTCTGACCGATTTGTCATACTGGAGTTGGTAATCTTTCTTAGAGATGCAGGATCTGCAGTACGAAGCTGGGATCCAATCAGATTTCAGACAGTTCATCTATCAGCTCAAGTCTTCGTATCGTGTATGTTTTTTTAAAAATCTCTATACTGAGATCACCACGTGAGAGTTACTCAGTTTGATGGAAGTGATCGTTCATTAGTGAAAGTCCTGTATGGTTAGTGACACTGATTTCCTAGCCCTCAGCCAAAACGTACACAGGGAACCTGAGCAATAGCAGCCGAACGAGCCACAGCCAGAGAGGTCCAACCAACGTCTGCCCGGGGACGGTGCCCGCTTCCTGACCAGGTTCAGGTCACGTCCCAGGAGCCAGAACCCAAGCAGCCCATCTGCAGGTGACCCCAAGAGAACATCCCACTCTTCCTCAAAGTACCAGCCCCACCCTGTGTTTGGGGTCAAGGATGCTAGAACTTACTAGACCGTGCCGAGGTAGGAAGTTTTACTCACATGTTGCCTAATTAAATATTGTTCAAGCCTCGTATTTCTCATCCAAAAAAAAAACGATTTGGTGCCCAGCAGCTCACAGGATGAATGAGGCTAGTATATGTCTCATTTATTAGATGGAAAATTCCGACAGAATAAGTAGTACCTAGTAGGTGCTAAATAAACCGATACGGTCACTTGTCGCACACTTCCGTGCTGAGTACGATGAGAGGACAGCTCGGGCCCTCCGAACGCTCGTACGTGCTGAGGCAGGAGCCTAGGGAGAGAGCCAGCAGGTACCAGATGTGGCCTAGCAAAGGACAGTAGGCATGAGAGCCCAGGCACCTGGAGCAACAGGGGGTACTTCCAGGCTGACTGTTGAGCAGATCTGAAGGGGCAAGTAGGTGTGTCCAGGGAGAGAAGTGGGAGGATGGGCTGTCTAAGCGGAGGGGACTGCAAGGGCCAAGCGGGGAGCGGAGGGGACACGAGGGCCAAGCGGGGAGCGGAGAGCTCGCTTGCTTCTTCCCTGCCACATGCTGTTGTCATTTCTGCTCGCGTAGCTCCGGGGCGCAGAGAGGCAGTCGTAGTTAGTGGTCGAGAGCGTACAGTGGTCCCCCCTTCCCCGCTGTCCATGGTTTCAGTTACCCGCGGTCAGCCATGATCCGGAAGTACTGGATGGAAAATTCCGGAAGGAAATAATTCATGAGGTTTAAATTATTTGCCATTCTGAATGGCATGATGAGATCCCGCGCCGTCCAGCTCTGCCCCCACGGGGTCGTGACTCCTGCCTTTGACCAGCGCGTCCACACTGTAGATGTTCCCCGCCTGTGAGTCGCTCAGTGCTGCCCGGGTTGTCACAGTGCTGCGTTCAAACCGTTGTTCCGCTTAGTACTGTCCCCAGAACACAAGAGCGGAGATGCCGGCGGCTCAGAGAAGCCAAAGAGAAGCTGGGAAGTGCTGCATTTAGGGGAAAGGGACGTAGGCATAGGAAGAAAACGTAGTGTATGTGGGGTTCGGTGCTGTCCGTGGTTCCAGGCATCCCCTGAGGGTCTTGGGGCGCAGTGCCCGTGGATACGGGGGGACGACTGTACACGTCAGCCCCAGTCTGGGTCCAGATCCTGCCGCCACCAGGGATGTGACTCGGGCAAGTGGCCTGACCTGTCCACCTGTCCACGTGTCGCGCTCCTGCACCTGCACAGTGAGGAGCATGGGCAGCTCCTCACGGTTGCTGCGAGGGTCCCGCGAGCTCATAAATGTGAAGTGGAAGCTGGATGCTGTTTCTTGTTAGTAGATCTTGTAATTATTTCAACCATTTCCCAGATGCTTGCTCCGTGTCAATCAGGTGGAGCTGGTGTCTTAGGAGAGACCAGAACGGGAAAGATGAGGCCCCTGTCCCCCAGGAGCTGTATAACCGAGCGGCAGAGTTGGATGCGTGAACAGCTGGCGGTGAAGACGAGCTGTAAGGAGGTGCAGGCACTGCGTGGGGCTTCGCCCGGGGAGAGGCGTGGGCCAGGGACGAGGGGGCCGTCCTGGGAGCGGCGGGGTCAGTGTGGGTGTCTGCCCCATGCCCATGGCTTCCTTTGGCTCCATCTCGTGTGAGTCAGGGCGGTCCACCCAGGCCGAGTTGGCTCCGTTTCGTTCTCTGTGGCCGACTGTCTGGGCAGCTCTCCTGTCTACCTGGCTGGCTCTGATGCTCCTCACAGAGCCGACGCTGCAGGGTGAACAAGGGAGGTGTTTTTACCAGCTTGAAGGAGATGCAGAAAGAGGGAGGCTGGGACTTCGTCTTCCGTGGTGAGAAGTCAGGTTACAGACACCTGCCCAGGCCGGGTTCAGGGCCGTTCACGCCATTCATTCCCCGTCCAGCCGCCTCGAGGCTCCACGTCTGTTGCCATCGGCTCCGGCGGCTCCACTGACGCCCGCATCCAGGGGCGCTCCCTCAGCTCCTCAGGCTGCGCCCCATCGCTCCCCAGCACAGACCAGAGGGAGGCCTGTGCTGTGCTTTGGACACCAGGTCTCAGAAAGCAGAGAGGGGAGGGCGGTCCTGCCCTGTGTTCTCTGGAGTGCCCGTGTAGGCCAGCTACCTGCTCACAGGTGAGCGATGGCTGTCTGTCCGCTGGCCCCCGGTGTCTCCTGGCAGCTGGGTGTGAACCGTCATATTTTGGCAGAGCTATCTCACAGATGGTGGTGTGTGCCTGGCTCTGCCCCAGAGTTTGAGCTCTGTGATAAAGTGCCGTCCCTTCTCTTCGGTCAGTCCGATCCTGGGAAGAGAGGCTTGTGCGTCAACTCTAAGTCACCGTCAGTTGTGGGAACATCACGGAAGAAGTAGGCAGGAGCTGGCTGCATCGCAGAGAATTTCAGAGAGAAAGGGAAAGATTCACACCTTTTCATGTGGCGGTCAGCCCGATTTCTGCCCGGAGAGGTTTCGGGAATTCTTCCGGCATCTTCGTGTAAAATGGTATCGTAGGTAAATGCACAGACAGACCCACAGCAAGTTCAAGTCTTGGCTCTGACACTTTTTAGCCGAGTGGCCTCAAGCGGACTACGCCACGTCCCTAGTTTCCTTGTGTGTGAAGTGGGCGTGATAGTTCCTGGTGCCTCCTCGTGGGCTGGGATGAGCACCCCCACGAGTCAGCGTGCGCTGGAGTGGAGGACAGGCCGGCCCCAGTCAGCGGTGCCGTGGGGACCACTCCCTCCCTCTGGAGAAGCTGTTCTCTTGCTGTCTCGTCGGACACATCGGAGGAGATGCTACCAGCTCTGAGGCCCTTTCCAAGGCCTTTGTGGCGTTCATGTTGTTACTGGGTTGAAGTTTATTGGCACGCATCTCTGGGAAAGAGCTGTGGAGAGTCTCAGCCCCATTCTGGAGTAGGATGATTTTCTCCTAATACATTCCGTGCGCACGGAAGGAAAAGCCCCAGCCTGTGCGTACATGGCCACACCTCTGTCTGAAGTGCCCAAGGGCAGCTCCAGGGTGTGTGCGAACCCTGGAGAGGCAGGTTCTTGCGATGCAGGTTTCCTTTTGAGACTCAGACCAGCCTATGTTTCCGTGCTGTGAACAGCTCTGAGCCGAACACCTGTGCCTTTGTCCTGGGTCTTGCATGGCAAACAAGATAGGATTGGACTTCTCTTTCCAAAACAATGGCCCACTATATGCCAGCATTTCTGCATTACTGCCTCAGTCAGCTTATTCAGAAGAAATAGCCAGACTGGAAAGTATGCGAAAATGACATTCAAGTTAGAGAATTCTCTTTCTACTACTTTTCTATTTAATTAAAGAAAAGAAGTATGAAATGTGTATCGTAAGATTATTACTGTGTCTTCATGATCTCCTCTTCTAAGCTCGTCTTTCAGGCTTTAGCGGAATAACCGGAACCCGCCCTTTCCCCATATACAATCAGGTGAATTTGCCATTTGCAAAATGACATCAGAATAGAGTAAAAAATAAACAGAAGTCGGTACTCACAGACCCATTGCGCCAATATCGTGACAATTCACGGAAACCTAGGCCACTCTCCTGTGTCACAGCGACTGCTGGCTGGCACTCCGCGAGTCAGCCCTGCCAGGCCGTGAGGAGACGGCTCGAGGCCGCCCTGGCCCGATCTCTCGCCGCGGAGCGTGGCAAGTCGCTGTGGCGCAAGGTGAAGAGTAAGCGCCAAGATAGTTGTGTTTCTCAGGTCTTCTCAGGTCTGGGGAAAGTTTTAAAAAGCAAAGGGATTTATCCAAGTGGGAGCATCCCCCATGGGGGCGGGGAGGGGGTTAGAGGTGGCTCTTGAACCATGAGAAGGATTTGGACGGGCAGAAGTGGGGACGGGAGAGGCGTCTACACAGAGCACAGCACGAGAAAAGGGCCCAAAAGCAGGTGTCAGGGCGACAGTCGCACAAGGAGCATCTTGTAAATTCCCCCGAGTCCTTGAGAGTGACCGAAGGCTCGCGATTATTGTACGTTTTTTTTTCTCAATTAGATGCCTTGGGGGCTATCTCCTCAAAGCTAACCATTACAGATCCCTCAGATCACCTTGTTCTTGCTCAGCAGACAGGTGTTGTCTTTCTCCAAGGAGGGACCGTACCGCAGCTGGCGGCACGTTTGTGACGGATACAGACGCTCATTGCCAAGACCGCTCTTAGGTCATTGAGCCACCGTGGTCATTTATCTCCTTTTAATCCCGTGAAGACATGCACCTCGGGTCTAACTCAGCCGTTGCCCCCTCTTCTCCAGTACGCTTTCTACAGAAAGTCTACTTTTCCCCTCATTGAAAGGAGCGCGGCTCTGGGGAGCCTGTGGCTTTAGCAGGGGTATTTCTTGGACTGGTGTGTTGGCGTCTTTCAGAGTTTACGCAGCGGCCTCCTTCCCAGTGGCCCGTCCACTCCCTTCGCATATGAGCCCATGTTTGCCAAGCTCTGGGGTCATAAATATCCTCACTCCCTACACACAGGAAGTGCGTCGTCTGAAAGTCATTTTTAAGGCCAAGTCAGCTCTTCGCAATTAAAATATTTACTGGCTCTTATCAGAAACACGTGAACCAAAGATGGTTCAAATGAGCTAAGGCTGTTATTGCAGTTATAGAAGGCGGTTGGCTCATGGCCTCTCTTTATTTGGTGTTGACTGAGGAGGACACACACTCCTGTCTCTTGAGAAACTGTCCACGGCCTTAACTTCCTTCGTTCCACCTGCCACAGAAAGCATTTTCCCGGATGCTCACGTGCTCTGTAACTGTCTCGCCTTCTGTCTCTTGCTTTTTCTTGCCTTTCCACTGACACCCCCCCCGACTCCCCGTTTCTGCCTTTCCTGCTTCGAGACGCCCCATCACGATCCTAATGTCCAGCTCTCCTTGGCCCATTTGTACTCCGAAGATGCTTAATGGGTGTCAACATGACGTCACGCATGTTCGCGAAGTGGTTTTTCAAAGGCAGTGCTCGCCGTTTGGGTCAGCGCTTGACAGGGCCGAAATTCTGCTGGAGAGGCCACGGGGGGCTCAGTGACCCGTGGAGGGACGGGGCATGAACCTGTCTCTGCCAGACCCAGGGGGCTGCTCCCCCCAGCCCCCTCCGCCCTCCTCCCTGCTCCCACAGCGCCTGGGTCCAGCCGGTTCTTACTAATAACCGTTACACCTCCCAGTGCGTAGCGGATAGAACTCGCCCAACAAACTGTGACTTCCCTGGACTTGGCTTTTCGTCTGTGAAGTGAGAACGGTGACTTAGAGTTCTTGCCAAGATTTTTCTGGCTTAAAAAAAAAAAATCTGTGATTGTCAGCTAAAACAAGTACATATTTGTATTGAAAACTATGTCAACATTTTGTCTTTATTTTGTGTTTATACAGACGGCTTATAAATGAATTTCTTTAGTAGGATTAATTTCCAAGGATAAAAAGAAAAGGGAGTTTTTATTTTGGGGATTCGGTTTTTTATGGTTTCGAATACAAAGGTTTGTTACCACAACCAAACAGTGGAATCGAAGGAAATATATAGTCAGGGGGAGATTGTACTTCACAGCGTGGAATGAATGTCCCTCGTCGAAGGTCTTTGCTTTCTGTCTTAAGAAAAACCGGACTCATTGTTAAATGGAATGTGTATGACCTTTTCAAAAATCATTTTGAAGTGATTTCAAGGATTCTAAAAAACATAAGGATCGGGTTATTCTAAATTTAGTCACCCGTGAGCCCTCAGGACTCATCGTAATCAGTAGATAGCGCGTTTCTTTAATATTACGTGGAACAAATACAATTTCAAGGCACAGGAGTTCTTATTAGCCCACTTCCTGTGCAGGCAAGGGCGCAGAACAGAACCGATGTGTAAAGTCAGCATACCTCTCGGTAGCCAGGACTCTCTCTACTTCTCATTGACACTACTGAGTCTTCAGAAGCCTGTTGACACTACTGAGTCTTCAGAAGCCTGCCTCGATTATTTTTCCATTTCCTTTCCCTTATAAAGCTTTCCTGGGAAATGATTTTTGTTTCATAGGCTTAATTCAGTTTCGCTATCTTTATCACTTACTCTTTGGGCAGGCCCTGCACACTCAGGAAGAACAAATGTATACACAGTATAATTAACCATCAAGGTAAGAAAAACTGCCAACCGAAAGAAAAAATTTAAAGCTAGATTATTTTATCTGTACCTTCCTGAAATTCCAGTGTCATCAAAAAGATAGGACGAATAAGTGAGCGTGTGTCTGGCCAATTAGACGGGTGATATGGGATTATAGACATAACTGAAGTGACCACAGGCGGGTTAGGGAGACAAAAGCTTGATTTAAGCAACGAGCTGTAAACAGTACAGCGGGTCCTCGAATAACCTCTCATCGTAATCTCGTACAGAGGTGGCGGGAACTTAACTCTTACATCGATTAGCCGATGATAAAATCGGTTTAGTTCCACGTCGTTTTACCTAAAGTCGCGGAACCTGTCGAGGACGCACTGTGTTTTGAAGGAAAAGACAGCAGCATCGGAAAGACCAGGACGCGCTTAAAATGAGAATCGGGAGAAGTCGGTGGCGTTCAGGGTGACGAAGGGAGGCTGGTCAAAGGGATTCACTGACCGTGGCTGTGAAACGAGGCGGGCCGAGGACTGCTGAGCAGGGTGCGTTTTAAATAGATTAGGCTGTTGCCGTGTACTTATAATTGGTGATTTTTTAAATTGAATTTTCTTCATTTTTTGCAATACATGTTTATGGTTCAAAACGTTTAAGTGGCATATTACAAAATCGTATAGACCAAGTGATAACTCTCCCTCCCACTCCTGACTCCAGCGAATCAGTTTCTTTCCCTGAAGACAGGCGATGTTATTAGTATCTTCATAAATTTTTTCTGATATTTATACATACAAATATATATACTTTGTCTCCTTGGACACAGATGGTTATGTACCACAAGTCCATAATTGCTTTCCAAAGCCTTTTGGGTCCAGATGTGTTTTATAATTCAGAATTTATTGGATTTTTAAAAAGTAATGTGGCTCGTATGGCCTAACTTACACAGGACCCCCAGGAGGTCTGAGCAGCACCAAATCATCAAGCATCATAATTCTCCAGGGAGACTGAATATTCACACCAAGTGGGATAAATAAAATCGCAAATAGCCTCATGTCAGTTATGTTCAGGTGTTACTGTCAAATAAGTTTTGGCACAAAGCTTATAAAAAATGTTTCGTTTTTAAAGCTTTTTAGATTCTAGAATTGCAGATAAAGGACTGTAGGCTGGAATGCACTATTCTGTACCCTGTTGGCTTTTTTTTTTAATTAGCAATTTGTATTGGAATTAATTTCATATCAGTACACAGTTTCATCATTCTATAAGCAATTCAAACTGGCTCACATGCTAGCCTTCTTGTAGAAGATAATTGAAATGCGTGCAGTGGTTTATGTACACACACATATGTGCATATGCGTGCGTTTATAGATGCGAATACGCAAGACGCATATAAATTGACGCGGTCCAGAGCAGAGCAGAGTCGGGTCCCCATCAAACTGTCGACGGATGAGGCTGTCTTTATTACCGTAATGCCAGTTTTAAAAAAGTAATGTAGTTATAAACAGTAATAACACTGGTTTATGAAAAAACATGCAGTTTAGCCAAACCAATAGAGTCATCATAAACAACATTATGATTTGTTCAGTGTCGGGAAAGCTGGAGCGGGCAGGGGGAGCCTTAAGAACTAAAATTTCATTTCCAGTACTCCTTATGAGGATTCTTTGGCGAGTAAACACGGTGAGGTTTATTCGTAATGTCATTATTCTTGGTAGAAAAGTCGCTACTATGAAAGGCAGGAGGTTGTTTAAGGAGCGGAGCGACTGTTTTTAATTGGCGTGTCAGCACCGGTGCCCGGGAGGAGGGAAGACAGGCAGCAACAGCATGCGCGGAGTTGTCACCGTGCGCTGGCGTTGGGACGAGAAGCCTGACTAAATAAGGCAATGCCCACGTCGGCCTTATCGGCGTTTGACCGGCCCGTGGACGCGCCGTGTGCTCTGCGAGCCCTTCGCTTCCTGGCAGACGCGCGGGCATCACCTACGTCAAGAGTCACCGCCGACTGCGCGCCACGTTGTGGCACCTGCATCTTGTGTTCTCTCAGGCAGAATATGGAACGTTAAGTCTCTAGGGAGGATAAAGGAGAGTTCATTGCCGTTCCAAACGCGCCGTGCGTGTAAGCAGGCTTATTTTTAGTGATGTGTCAGTGGAGAGTTTGTTTAGGAATTCATTCACCGCCCCTGGCTCCCGGCAGCCTCTCCTGGACCAGCCCAGCGCCTGCCTCCGCCTCCGCAGCTGGCCGCTGGGAGACGGGACGGTGGGAGGCTGGGTCCGAGGGAGGAGATCTGCAGTCACGGCCACCCCCTCGGGCGCTGGGTGGAGGGGAGGGAAGGAGAGAGGAAGGAGGAGAAGTTGAGCTTTTAATCCCATCCAGTCATCAGCTCACTTCTGGTCTTCGTTTTCTCGGCCTCTGTGTCCTGCAGTGTCTCTGCGCTGCCCGTCCCTGGATTTATAAAAAGAAAGCGGAGCCTTTTTCAGAGGAATCGATCCAAGGGGTCGATGCTCATGCCCACAAGTACTATTTTCAGTGTATGTTAGTCGTCAAACCCATCAACTGGGCTTCGTATCCAGGTTCGTTCATGCAGGGCTTGGGGGTGCGGGGCGACTGTGTGCACACATCGCAGGGGTTC